GAGACTGAGACATAGACAGACACTCTGTTCATCAGTGCATTACAAAGAAATATAACAGAAGAACAGACAACCATTCTATGAATAGAAAACCCAACCAGACACACACCTGACACCTCTGGAAGAACTCCTGGTTGATGACGACATCGTAGGCGGTGCAGCCTTGAGAGTCTGAAACACACGACGAGAGGAGTTCAGTCGATTAAACCGACTTGATAATGGAGCCTTTAAATAAACAGGAAAATAAGGTCGCGAGTTAAAGAAATCCTGTTTAAATGCGTCTCTTCTCTTGGCAACACACTGGCAAATAAAAATGTGGAGCAGCATCTAAATATTGACGCTGTGGCCTTTCTGCTATCCAAACACCATGTGTGCTTTACAAACACTGGCTGTTAACGGAAAGTAGCCCAGATAAGGAAGCTGCTGAGGGTAAAAACCCCTCTATCAGTCATGAGGTGTGAGCTGACAGAGAGGACATTTCCTCTTTTAAAAAGTGCACGTTGGATCTTGGCATTGAGAGCAACTGTAAAGGAACTGAACACAATCGAACTCAGAAGAATGTTGTTTTCCATGTTTTAGAGTTTCTCAGTGACTCCTCAGGTCCACGTGAGGAAAACTGTTCACACTGTTGAGAAGGTCGAAACACGTTGTGCAAATGTGCTCAATAAATAAATGTCTACTCTTGTGCTGCGTTCCAGCTCACACGGGGGTCCGTTTCTGGTTTGGTGTCTCCTGGAACTGTTTTAGGAGCACAGTTGAACATTTTTGTGTGTTTTACAGCAGTAAAAAAAAAAAAAAAGCAGTTGGAAATCTGTTCCAAATGTTGTTGCATAACCTTAAAAAATCTGACCACAAAGCCCTCAGAACATCTGAATCCAAACTCCTCTCCAGTTATAGCTGCAGATTGAGTTTCTCTGAAGGCGGCTGTCCTGCAGTACGTTGCAGTTTTCAGGCAAAGACAAGGCGAGTGCCGGAACAGCCGCGAGGACCTCTGCTGCATCACGTCCACCGTCGACAGCAACCTCCGTTTTGCGTTCGTGCAAATCAGAGTTGCGCAGATTCGGTGGGGCTGCTGTATGTGCAAGACCTCCTGAAAACGCCTCTCACAAATCTATTATTGAA